TCGTTCGAGCTGAGAGAGCGGTGTGGGTGCGCTCACCCCCGCAAAGTCAAGGCTGTCTTCAGTGGGATATATGCCCGGCCGTTGCGGGTCTTTAGCTGCGGGAAACAGCGCAGATCTTAGAGACCAGCGGAGGCAGTCGTCGTCTTTGTTTTTCACGTTGACGATTGCCTTCTTATTCTTGACTGCGGTGGGGAGAAGAAGGTATGAGCCTCCGCGTAAAGGCTGGTAGTGAGCGATGTCAAGCCGGATTGTTTTGATATGATCTACTATCCACCCAGACCCTTCCCGAGTGAACTTTTCCAATCTCTCCAGGATTGTTGGGAAGGCTTCATGTAGGGCTTGCGGAATCTCATGCGCCTGTTGCAGCGGGATCTGCTTTGTCCGGAACATTGGTGCTTGAAGTACTTCAGTACCGTTGGCTTCATCCTTCCGAAGCTCAACCTCTACAGCCAACTGGAACTTAACTCCTTGTAGAACTAATAGTTCCTCGACGAGTTTGCGTTTGATGTAGGGCTGGGCGATTTTGAGGAAAGCCATCAAATCGTTTTCGGAGGGGTGTCCCTTCGGCATCTTAATTCCAGCCAGAAGCTGATCGATGTATGCGTCCATCTCATCATCGGTAAGCTCCTCGTGCTTGCGCTTGCGCGGTTTGGGGATAGGCCTGCACCTACGCGCTTTGGGGATAGGCCTGCGCTTTCGCGGTTTGGGGATAGGCGGAGTGACATTTCTTGGCGTGAGTGTCGGGTCAGAGGGCGCGTGAAAAGCCTTAAGAGGGGCGTTCAGTGCGTGTCCGCTAATTACACCTTGGTCATATAGTTGCAGAAGTTTATTAACAGTATCCATATCATTCGAAAGAATGTTTTATGCAGTGCGGTGTTTGAAATTAAATGTAGATATGATCTTCGCACTTTGTTGGACAATTTTAAGCAATTGTCTCATGAGCCTGAAAAATTCAGGTGTGGACTTTCACCCACGCGCACTTGTTTTTGCCCTGCCTCATGGCTGTCGAACGTTTAGATATACGCTGTGAATCGTCTTTCTTCAAATGACCCACGGCCGGCCTCGCGGGCGCGGGGGGTGGGCCGGCCGTCTTTGGCTCCTGCTGTTGTCCAAGGTTTGGCCTTTGCTAGCATAATTACAAGAAGTACGTACGCGAACTAGGGCTGGGGCGCTTAGATTTGCGTATACTAGGTCTCAAGGTGTGAGGTGCGCCAAAACTTGTAGTCTCTATATTACTCAAATGCATACTGTTGTTCTTAAGTTTTCGCCATATTGAAGTAAACAAATAAATACGCACTCTCATCACTCCAGGTACGGCTTTCTTCGGGCAGGATCTCGCCAAGCTGGGATGACCCGCTCTTTATATGAACAGGCCCTAATTCTACGAGAATACTATATGTGCTCGTTCTTTTTATATGAACTTTTCCTTAAAGGGAAAAACAAACCAGCCGATTCGTACGTTATTAATCAATATAGTCAATGTATACAGTGCTTTCTTCTATCCTGTGTCGTAACTGCTATAAGCTCTGGGTGGGTAGAGCCACAGGCAACAAAGGAATCGCCATGCAATGGGCACCCTGAACAGTGCTATTTATGGATATTTAAGCAGGAAAGTAAACTATTATTTGGGCACGTGGAAGCACTGGAAATTTCATATTCAAAGTTATTCGCGAATTGATTCGTGTTAATCGAAAGCTCTAATTGGTATTTTTTTCTAAATAAGCCCAGTTAATAATGCGCTCTATTAACGATTATTGGGAAAAGGTTCATGGAAATTTCTAGAGGTTAGAGCAGGGGTGCACCACATCCTGAGAAGACCAATGGCAGCCTGGTTCAAATATACTCCACTGCTACAACTGTGGAATCATTTTTAAAATTGCCCATGTTTAAATATAGCAAGAAGGCAACCAAATGCTAAACCTTAACCAAAAATTCCAAGAGATGACTTGGCTTGTTTACGTTTGGCTGCGCTGGCCGGCAGACTTTGTCAAGTGCTTTTAGACAACACTAGCAACAATGGTTAATGTCACTTGGCATTGATCTGCCTGCCAGTAAAACGTAAAAGAGGAAAGTCATTCATAATCTATCGAATACATATTGTCCAGTTTTGTTATGACATGAAACATTTAAGAAAACCATACAATAATTTATCGACATAATCGAAAACACGTTTAAATAGTTAAACATCGATTGTAAAAGTAATTTGATCTTTTGATGGTTATAAGATACGTGGTGCGGTAACAAGGTTGCTGACTACCTATCGATCTTTCCCTCATTGCGAGAAGAGAACAATGCTTTCCAAACAAAAATGTCCTATAGAATATTACATTGACAGATTTTATTGGATATTTCATGGCATAGAATATTCTATGGAATTTTCTATGAAATATTCTAGCAGATTTTGGAACTTATTTAATGAAATATTCGATGTAATATTCTATGGAATATTTGATGGAATATTCAATGAAATATTCAGATGATTATGTGATAGCATATTCTATAGAACCTTCTAGGACATATTGTGTAGAACAGGCAATAGATTATTCTATAAAACACAATGTAGAAAAGAGCAAAAAATTCTATATGATTTACCATTTAAGTGATGTGGTATCATTTGAAAGGAATACACGATAAAACAGAATATTAAATTGTGCAGAAGTAAACCATTCGGCGATATAACACGTAGGTAAAAACAATACAAAATTTTTTTATAATTTCTGGTTAGATTTTAAAGTCATTTTATTTCATGGACAAAATAAATAGTGTCAACATAAAGACATTAACATTTTTTATTTATGAATAATGTTCATTTTTGGCTTGTTCTTTGCTTTATTTTTTCCACCTCAATAATATTACTAACTCTGGACATCATTATCTACCTTACTTCTGTTTCTTGGTAGTCAAATTTTTTATTCTATATTGGTAAAAATAAGAAAAAACTAGCTTTAACCATGTGACTTCTCAGCTCACTTCAATGTATGGAAGAGCACTAATAATATTTTGCTGTTTTGTTCAAAATTTTTACAAAAAAACTTACCACATAAACTCTTGAGTTTATTTTGGTCAAGGGTAGGTTTTTCATTTTTTCTTTGAAGGCATTTTAAGACTTTCCTGTAATGGAGTGTGTACATAAAACGTCCCGCGTCCACAACATGCTCATCAGGACATATACAAATTCTTTGGCCGTTGTTTTGCATCTCAACACAGCATGTTGACCTTTCGACAACACAATATTTGGGCAGAGGGGTACCTACAAATCACAAATTGGTGAAATTTGATTGATTTCCCTTTTTCATACTAACACGACTACAGTTTAAGCTAACAATAACCAGTTCAAGGTCAAGATCAGACGACAAGGATCTTGAAGAAGACGAACAACTTGAATTTGAACTTTCAAACCTACGTTCATCACTTCTCAACACTTTGATTTGCTGCCTCCAGTCCTCTAATATTCCTGGTAAAGATGGCATTGCTAAAAATATTACAATGGCAGTTAATCTTGAAGAAAAAATTTAAAAAATTGTTAGAACTAATACAGATAGTTACAGGCTCAGCTAAGTAAAGTACCAAGTTAAATTTTCATAAAAGAAAAATATTATAATCAATTGAAACTTATAAAAACCTTAGAGATTGCTTATAACAAACTTATAACAAGCGATTTCATTGTCTTTCTCCAGTAATCTTCTCTGCAATTTGTTGTTTTTTTTTCGTAATTCCTTAAAATCATCTTTCTCAAAAACCGAGCGTGACACCTGTCATTAAATTCACATGATACATTTGAACGATATAAATGTAACAAGGGTTTTATGTTAAATAACGGTAACAGTTACATGATATTGATTGTTTTGTAAGGGTTGGTCAAAACATCAAGGGAAGAAACTACAACGCTAACTAAGGGGTAGGGGTGAGTGCTGGGCCATACTAAGCTCTGCTCTACTGACAACTTTTGAAATTATATTTGCATTGAAAAAAATCAATCTTGCAGAGCTGAAAATATGAACATACACACTCCTGACCAGATTGACAATTTTAACGTCCACAGGCATCAAAAGCCGTTTTAAAAGGCTTATGAAAAAATTTAAATTAATAAAGTAATTTCAAGATATTCAGGTTACATGTAAAAAACTACCCTAAAATCTTTGGGATCCAAAGTGATTCGAAGGAAAGACCCTTGGAGAACAGTTTAACTATCCAGACGATACAATTTGAAACGATTTATTTTTGATGGACGAAAACTAGAAATGTGAAAGCCAACCGGTAAAAACAGAAAGGACGAGAAAGAAAGCAAGCTTCGTTTCAGATAAAATAATGCCATATAATAATCCTTTTAATAACCTCGCTTTCTCGGTCTTTACTAAGAAATATCGGACCTATGTCTTTTTGTACAAACCTCGATCTGGAGCAGGGGCGGATTGAAACTACGTCACATTCAGCACGCGACGTAGTTAAATTCTGCACAGCAGCGGAAAAAATTAATCAAATTTTAAATACCCTTAGTTGAAAATAAAAACAATTTGCGCGAGGTGGAACGAAGGTTGTTTGGTCGAAAGGACCAAGAGCATTTTTCTATGCGTCGTTTGCAGGCTCGAATCTCGTCTCGGTAGGGTGTAGTTTGTTTCGATGTGTGGATAATGATCATGAGTTCTTTATCCTAAAATCAATTAAATTTTTTGTGTCCTCACAACCAAAGTATTAGAAAAATAAACTATTGTCAGGGTTAGGGATAGAATTGTGAGAAATTTGTGCAACAACGTGAATTCACTGAACAATGTTATTGTTTCCAAGACCTGGATTAAGCAGGGGATTAAGGGATCAAGTGGCTAAAAATACTTCTAATTCACTTGCCTGAGAAATACCCATAGCTAACCCGCACAGAGTCAGCACGCCTAAAATTGTGCTGAATTTGGAGACTAAAATCTGTCTCTTGATTGGTTTATTGCCTTTGTGCTGACTAACGAGCCGCCGTTTTTGCTGAAATGTTAAAGCGGTGTTGTGCGAAATTCAGCACAGATTGAGATTTTTGATAGCCGAGGTTTTATCTTTGAGCTTCAAAACCAACAATATTAATGAGAAGCTTGGCATCTTTCACTGATCGAGTCGAAGTTGATTTTACGAGGAAAGATAAGACTTGGAGAAGTTGATTTTACGAGAAGTTATGGCTCAACTCTACGGAGAGATGTTGGATTGCCTGAAAGTCAACAGCATTGTTACCAACGATAATCTGTTGGATCGTCTCCGGTGTTGATATTTTCCGAAATATCAATGCCGAATTTTACATACCGTAGAGTGCCAAGACAAAGAACACAAATTTGGTTGCCTTAAGGTTAGAAAACTTAAAACATGTTATGCATGCATGCTTACACAAGAATATATAAGCAAATATAAATTGACTTGATGTAATGCCCGATGGATTTGTCATTTGTGGTTTATTTATGTGATTCAAAACAAAACAAATTTTCAAATTTTCAAAGTTTCTATTGATTTATTTCTTGATGTGTTCAATGGTATACTTAAGATAAGATATACAAAAATGGACTGAAGCCTGATATTTGAAATTTACATACCTGGTAACATTATTTCAGATCCGCTACAAATGGCAACTGTCTCTATAGTTCATTGTCAATTCTGCTTGTTGGTGACAACTCTGTGGTGACTATTTTGAGTCTGATGACCTCTATAGAATTATTTTTATATGCTGATTATTATGCAAAACATCCATGTTTTTCATATCTTTTTGAAACTCAGCATAGCAAACACTTTGATTCTATCTCAAGCATGGTGGCCATGCCAGTCTATTTTGAAGCTATTGATAGTGCTGGAAGTGGTTGTTCTGTTGCTGAACTGGTCAGGGCAGAAGCTGTGTTAAATGCAAAAGATATGGCATGGACTGGGTTTGTTTGTTTGTTGGCACTCTCTTCAGTTACATCCTGTAGCATTTTTTCTTACTATCCTGACATATACTCTAGTGCTTATAGGTGGAATTTATTATTTAACCAAAGAATTGAATTTTGAATTCTATCTAGGGCTTCTGCTTCCACTAGTAATTATTTGTGAGTTTTGTTTGCTTTGAAGGTTTAGCTCCTCAAGCAACTGCATTCAAATACAATCATTATGTCCTTTGATACTTAGTGGGAAGGGAACTAAAAGAAAGGGAAGTAGTCACTTGTCACCAGCTAAAAAGCCCAGTATACAAACAAAGTTGAGGTTTACACCTTCTGGTCCTACTGAGACAAACATGACAACCAAGGCTCACCCCTATGGTATATCTCACAGTAGCGCTTTGGGTTCTTGTGATGCTTCTTCTTCTATTTCATCTTCTACCTTGCAATTACTAGATAATAAAACTGCAAATGATGGTTTGCCTAGAAATCCATATGATGTTGGTTTTTATAGAGAAAAGGTGAGAGGTATGGAAGTTCATGAAATTGAAAAACTTGTGAAGAATGTATTCGTACCTGATGAATGCTATGAATTTCCTAAAACTGTTCATGCAAATGGTCGCAGTAGGTCTTTTCGACATTATTGGCTGAAGGATTATCTTTGGCTTTCGTATTCTCCAAGTCTTAATGGTGGTTTTTGCTTACCATGTGTTTTGTTTGGTAATAGGTTTCCCTCCAAAAACAGTCGAATTAAAAATTTTTTCTGAGCCATTGACACATTGTCCTGATGCTAAATGTGCATTTAAAAGGCATATTAGTACATCATCAGGTCTTCATGTTCACACTTCTGCTTTTCTTAAGGACATCTTGGATCAGAGTTCCGGTAAAAGCCAGCCAATAAACGTCATGATTGACAGTAACTTAAAGAAAAAGATTTCAGAGAATAGGAAAAAATTAGTTCCTGTTCTTGATACCATCATTCTTGCAGGTCGCCTTCAGTTACCACTTAGATCGCCTTCAGGTCGCCTTCAGTTACCACTCAGGTCGCCTTCAGTTACCCTTGCATCTGTGATTTAGAGGTCATTGGGATGATTCTCAGTATCATCCTGAAATTGGTGAATATTCTGAAAAGCATCTTGGTAATTTTATTGAATTATTAAACTTCCGTGTTAGTGCAGGGGATACCATTTTGGAAACCCATCTTAAGCATCATGATAAAAATGCCTCTTAAATTTCTAAAACTACTCAGAATGAGTTAATTAGGTGTTGTGGTCAATTCATCACTGAGCAGCTTCTAGTTGAAGTAAAGAAGAGCAAGTTTTATGCTTTGATTGCAGACGAAACATGTGATATTTCTAATAAAGAACAGATGTCTTTGGTTTTGCGTTTTGTTGATGAGGAGTTCAACATAAGAGAAGAATTTTTTTCGTTTCATTCATTGTAGTGAGGGTATGTCTGGGAAGAACCTTGCATCTGTGATTTTGAAATGCTTAAAGGAAGAGTTGAATTTGGACATCGAGGACTGTCGTGGGCAGGGGTATGATGGCGCAGGTGCTGTTGCTGGTTGCATTAATGGTCTTGCTGCAAGGATTAAGAATTTTAATGAGAAAGCCATTTACACACATTGTTTCAGTCAAAGATTAAATCTTAGTATTTGTGGGCTTGTGCTGTTCAGTATGTAAGTTTGTTTGTTTGCTTGTGCAGTTCACTATGTAAGTTCAGTATGTTTTGGAACATGTGAAGGAAGTTAGTAACTTTTTCAACTCTTCCCAAGGCAGACAACTAATTTTTGAGAAATTCATTGGAGAGCACTGTCCAGATTCTGCAAAAAAAGAAATTGAAAAGTGCTTGTAAGACAAGATGGGTTGAGCGTATTACAAGCTTAGATACTTTTGAAGAACTGCATGTTGCTATTAATTTTTCCTTGGAAGAAATGAGTTTTAACGTTGAAGGCAAGTGTAATCGTGAGACCTCTAGTAAAGCTTCCCCTCTGTTACATCGTTTGACATCTTTTGATTTTATTGCAGCACTCGTAATAACTAGACGTATTTTTGATTTTACTCTTCCAGTAACTCAGTTACTTCAGTCTTCTAGTAATGATATTGCTGACGGTTTGAACTTGATTGAGGCATTAAAAAAATTGTCGAGAACTGTAAGAAATGAAGTCGATGTTTATCATGCTAACTGGTACAGTATTGCATGTTTTTTGGAAGGAAAAATGTCTCTTCTACTTTAAAGTCGGTAAATTTTCTAGGTTTTGAGAACATAAAAGTATTGTTAAAGACCTTAGGTACTATTCCAGTTACTTCTTGTGAGTGTGAGAGGTCGTTCTCTGCTTTGCGAAGATTAAAGAACTATACAAAAAGTACATTCATCAGGACATTAATCCAAATATAGAAAAGATTATAGATCTTTTTTCAAAAGACAAAAGAAGAATTGAACTAGCTTTCTAGTTCGGAGTGAAAATTTTTGATGCCTTTTTTAAACTCTTGACTGTAAAGATGACTGCTGCTAACCTCAGTCAATATAAACACAGACGATCGTTCTCAGGACTTTACTTACCTGGACGATCGACATCTACAAACATTTTTTTGCTTTTTTGTTGACAACTTCATTTGATAAATTCGTTTGCGTAATAATCAGCATATAGCTATGACTAGACCATTATAAAATGAAATTCCATATAAAAGTTGATGAAGCGTAAAGAATATTTTTTGGCTAAGTTTGTAATGAACCTGGCCGTCCATGTCGGAAGCTCTCAAAGCATATTTTTCTGCGAGTTTCCTAAGCATGCTGATGAGCTCTGATATTGAGCGAAACGGTCAAAAATCGATAATTTATGAGCAAGAATGTTAGCTCATTCCAGTAATAAATATTTTAGAAAACCAACTGCAAAAACGCAGGAAATAGCGTTTTTCGCAATCCAATTTTAAAATTTTACCGGGGGACATGCTCCTGGAACCCCCTAGAAAAGTCGCGCTGACGGTGCGACATTGTGCCTAAGTTCATATACGAAGCTGGATCCGCCCCTGATCTGGAGAACCTTATCGATCTGGAGAACCAATACAGTCAATTTTTATTAATTTTGGACAACTTGAGAATTAAATAGTAAATACTCTTCTTTATTAGGTTACTATATATCGACAGTCAAATTACTAAGTGTTGCTTACCAAAGTAATTCAACAGCGCTCTGTAATTTCCTTGAGGCCATTTTTACTCATCATTCCCTTTAAATGCTAACCCTTTTCCTTAGAGTTCTATACAATCCTGCCAAGCCAAAATTTTTCAACATTTCCCTTACTTGCCACACGAATTCATTGCACTCAAACATTGAAAATTAACACTCCTTAGTATTGAAATGTTTTTAGAAATCAAAAACCAATGAACTCTAATACAATTGAAAGGCTAACTCAATATACACATTCCTAGACTTGGCTGAAGCCACTTAGAAGCTGATTTGCCGTTCGCGTGTATCTCGCGTGGACTGTTTTATTTTGCGTGACGGATTGTTTCGCAAAAACTGCTAACTTGGAAATACAATGCTAGCCTAAATGTTTTATTTTTTCAAAACCGTTAACAAAATTTGGTTATTAATGTCTTAAGATGAATTGTGGACGTTCCAAGACATGTTTTGTATAAGTAACGCTGTATTATGTAAAACATGAAAGTGAGAACTTGCTTCGAAATATGAATTTCTCATTTGCCGTCGAAAGACCAAAAATTTAAAATAAAACTGATAACAGGTAGTCTGTACCTTTGAATGCTGTGCAAAATACACAGAATCCACTGAATATAACATGTTTCATAACAGTTTTATTGCTTTTAAAGTTGTAATGTGTGAAAGTGGTGATTTGAAATTTTGAACTGTGGGTGATTCTTGGTTATTGTCATTTACTTCTCCTACTTCTTAACAACTGGTGGAATATTTGACATGCATTCATTTTTGTGTATTGAGCATTTTATCAGCAAGTTCATGCTTATAAATAAATAGCCAAGTGTACAACATGATAAGTATTGCTAATATAACTTGCTCTACATAAATGCCAAAAAGCAACCCTCATCCTCAATGGTTTGAACCAGGGTTTTAAAATGATTATAAAGCAAGCAAAGCTATATCATGTATCAAAATTTTATAGTATATCATATTTATTGTAAAATTAGTTTTTCCTTGTAATACAGATGAAATATAAATGTATATGTAATATATTATATTTTAGGATGTGTGTTTAAAATGTTTGGTCATATTTGTGAAAATGTATGATGATTCTATAATATCAGGCTAATAATCTTTTTCATACATGTACTAAATTACAATTTTTGCTTAAGTGTTTCAAAAGTTATGAACATGGAATGTTATTTGTGTTTTTGTCTTTTTTCAGTGGGTATTGACTCTTTTGACTCTTTAATGGTGCAATTAATAATAACACAATATGGCATAACACTTTTTTTTAAAAAGAACACAAAATATTTTTTGCCAACTTTTTGACATAATTTGCAAAGTGTTTTTTTTTTGTTCACGCTCTAAACTTTCAGAAAAGACTGGGGCGAGCTAATTTTGGACGAAAACACAAAAATTACCGAAAAACATCGTTTTTTGCCCTGACAGCTTCATTTTCAAAGATTCAAACAGTATTATAAGGATAGACAAGTGTATTTTACATCCTTTTAATGAAAAAAAAGGATGGGTGTTAGTTTTGTATTCAAGTTATAACGCATGTTTTCACGTGCCAAAATATAGTTCGCTTTTCATCCTTCTAAAAAAAGCTTAAACATGTACAAATGTCGTTCAAACTTGTTTTATATTAAAGTCCAAACATTGTTTAAGGTTTTTAGACATTAAGCTGGCTATAAGAGCACTGTTTTATGCAAAAAATCCGGCAATTTTGAAGTGATGTTTTCGCCTCCGTACCCTCAATGGTGGCGATCATGCAGGCTTCAAAGATGGAGGCCAAGTTAGCCTTCCAGTTGTTATGGAGTTCATTCTCAAAAACCTACACAACAAGACTATTGTAAATTTAGCACCACATTGGTTATCACATACATCACAACATTCATCACCACATTTAACCAAAATTTATCATTCAAAATGATAAATTGAAAAATGGTCTTTAAAACACTTTTTCTTTCAAATACAATAGTAAAAAACAATTCTTAACAACTTATTAATATTTTACTGTCCTTAAACATCACAAAGAAAGTCTAAAAGTCAAGAAATTGAAGAAAATACTAAGCTTTAGGTTACAGTATACTTTTCATTTCTCTTATTTTGCGTATAATTTAAAAACATCACGGTAGAATTTTTTCAAACTTGGCCAGAATATAGATAATTACATTGTCTAAAATATATATCCAAAATCTGGAGAGTGCACAAAAATATAAATGGTAGAAAATCATCTAAAAAGTCGGATGACACGAATGTGCGTAATATAATCTTATATAATTAGTTAAGAATTCCGGTTCTTTACTAAACAAAAGCCTATAAGTAAAAAACTACACTGTAGGATTTTTTTAAACTTTTGCATATTGTAGATATATATATAGCCTAAAATATATCCAAAATCTGGAGAGTGCACAAAAAGAAAGTTGTAGAAAATCGTCGATAAAATCGGATGTCACTAATGCGCGTAATTTAATCTTATATGATTAAGTTAGGAATTCCGATTCTTTACTAAACAAAGGCCTACAATCAAAAAACTACACGGTACTATTTTTTTAAACCTGGCCATATTGTAGATATTTTTATTTTCTATAACATATCCAAAATCTGGAGAGTGCACAAAAATATAAAAGAAATAAAATTCCTTGAGAATGTACTCTGGTATAAACTGTGAAGTTGGCACCAAATTCGACAAACAGCTCTATAGCTAAAAAACTACACGGTGGAATTTTTTTAAACTCGAGTATATTATATAAGTTTATATTGTCTAAAATATATCTAGAATTTGGAAAGTGCACAAAGTGCACCTGGTCCTATGCCAGTCAGCCTCATCAATTTCTCCTGTTAAAATCTTTTTTATTAATATAGCTACATTCAGCACATTTACAAGCAATGCCCCAAAAAGAAAAGCTTTTCTCACATCTAACAACCTTGAGTTTCCTGCCCCTGGTGAAACAAGATGGTATTATCGCTCTAGATTAATCAATGTATTGCACAAAAACTATGAAAAACTTTTAGATATTTTTGAGGGGGTACTTGAACAACCAGCTGGGTGGGATGATGAGTCATTAAGTAAAATAAGTGGCTTACTGCATCATCTTGATAGCTTTCTCTTTTGTTTTCTAGTGTGTGTTTTTTACAGGATTTTAGAACAGTCCACAATTTTGTATTCCATTCTTCAAAATAGGCAAACCCATTTTAACTATGGCATAATTTGAATTCTCAACTTAATGATTTGGAATTCTCAACTTAATTATATAAGATCATATTACGCGTATTCGTGTCACCTAACTTTGTCGATGATTTTCTACAACTTTTTTTTTTGTGCACACTCCAGATTTTGGATATATTTTAGACAATAAAAATATCTACAATATGACAAAGTTTAAAAAAATTCTACCGTGTAGTTTTTTATTTATAGGCCTTTGTTTGAAAAATTACATGGATATAGGAACTTAATTATATAAGATTATATTATGCACATTCGTGTCATCCGACTTTGTCGATGATTTTCTACATTTATATTTTTGTGCGCTCTCCAGATTTTGGATATATTTTAGACAATACAATTATGTATATTCTGGCCAAGTTTAAAAAAATTATACCGTGTAGTTTTTAAAATATACGCTGATTAAGAGAAATGAAAAGTACACTGTAACCTAAAGCTTAGTGTTTTCTTCAATTTCTTGACTTTTATACTTTCTTTGTGATGTGGGGAAGTGATATTACCTCGTACAGCCAATAGACAAGAAGAAGCGAGACTAGATATTCGTGCTAAAGGTTTTTGGTCTAGACAGCAAGATGCATTTTTTGATGTAAGGGTATTTCACCCAAACGCATCGAGCTACCAAAACACCAATCTACCTGCACTCTATCGTCAGCATGAGATGGCTAAGAAAAGGAATATGGTGATCGAGTAAGAGATTGAATATGCTGCTTTTACACCACTGGTCTTTTCAACATCAGGTGGTATGGGGAAAGAGACGGAAATTGCTTATAAACGGCTAGCTGATCTGCTGGCACAAAAGAAAGCTGCAATATGGCATCACGCTAGCGTGGATGCGTTGTAAACTGTCTTTCGCACTGATTAGGTCAGCAATTACCGCGATACGAGGAAGTCGATCTGCCTCAACTCGTGAACATACTTTAAATATTGACCTAGGTTATTGGAAAAGTTGTCTTTACATTTGACTGTCCCTTTATCATGGATATTTTAAACACTGATTTTAGTCATATTTGATTTAGTTTTTTAACATTTATATTTGTAATAGATAGTAATGATCATAATAAAATACGTTTTCTTCAATAAATAAAAAAAAATAAAAAAAAATTTGTGATGTTTAAGGACAGTAAAATATTAATAAGTAGTTAAGAATTGTTTTTTACTGAAAAAGTGTTTAAAGACGATTTTCAATTTATCATTTTGAATGATAAATTTTAGTTGAATGTGGTGATGAATGTTGTGATGAATGTTGTGTTGAATGTGATCCCAATGTGGTGCCAATTTCACGGTAGTGCCTGATAGCCCTGAACATGTTCATTACATATTTAGTCAAGATGTCTTCAATTTGTGGGATGCATTTAGAAAGAGGTTTCCTGGGTCATCACAATCTGCTTTTGTAAGAAGTTTGGAAGATATTTCCAGCTCTAGAGGATAGGTGATTAATTTTTATGCTATCTACATATCTTTGTTAGTGTGCTTTTTATTTTGTGTATATTTTTTGTCTCGCAAACCAAAAGCTACAAGATGTAAATCTTGGTTTCAAAATAATCCCTTATGATCATTTCTTTCTGTGAATTTTGGCAAATTCTGGAAAGTCAAGGAAAATGTGTTTAAAATTTGTAACAAACACATGTCAATTTATGTAGGCTTCATATACATGTAATGTGTACGTTTGAAGTATGAGAACTATGTTATAGTACAGTTGGGTTTTGCATAATCAACAAATAGTATATAATTGTGCTATGTTTTGATTTGGAACTGGTTTCATTAGGAAAATGTTATCAATCCAGTCACCTACAGAAAATTGTTTGCTAACACGACTTTGACCTTCTTCATGAGCAGAAAAGTAAATATTGCCCTCCTTGTAGCATTGATTAACATTCATTTCATGTTGATGGAAATCAAAAAGTGTACAGACTCAGCAAAGTACCAAGGTTTGTGATATTGGATAGCGAATTCTCAAACTTCCAAAAATGGAATTACCCTTTGTAAACAATTCAGATACTTTTATGTTCAAATCCAAGAAAAAGACCTACTGCTCATGTTGATTCTTTACCTACATTGTTGGGTTTATGAGTGCTTGTGTTCTAATTGATAGCTTACTTTTACCACAGGGGTCCAGTCCAGTGTTATTATCATGATGTACTGATTGCAAACAACAGTTTTGTGGACTCTCATTTAAAAAGTCTTGGTTCAAAGTCAATTCAGGTAATGTGTTATGAAGTAGTATTGAAAAGTAGTAATCTATTATTAAGTTAAAGCATTTTTTATAGAATGAAGATAATTCTTGTGGTGACACTCATTGGAAAGCTGCAAAAATGATCTCCAAATCAAAGAAAAACCAAGACGAGACTGGACTTGAAGTTGCTGGATGCAGGCATTCGATTGCTCAAGCTACTTTGAACTTTTCAGAGGAGAAATTTATGTCGATGCTCACTACTTGCATATGAATTTTTTACAACCACATAAAGTTAAATATATGTGGGAAGATATTATATGCAAATATTGGCCGTGGGCTCTACGTGTTACATCGGAAGAAAATCAAAATGCTTTAAGAAATACTGCACCAGCACTGTCTATAATGCATGGGAAATCACACAGTTGGTCATGTCAGGTACGTTACATACGTAGGTTATGATTGTTTACCCAATAATTCGTACGCTAAATACCACATACACCGACGATAATGCTCTATTAAAGATGTTGTGAGACGAAGCGTGCTTTGTCAAACTGTGATAGTACTGTATTTCACGTAATTATAAACCGTGGTTACGTAAATCTGAAATGGGTTGTCTTGAATGGATGATTCTTTTCACACTTTTTAGGTTATTTGGAGCGGAAGATGGCAAAGTGGTGCGGCAGCAACTGCTGGCGAAGAAGTTGAGCAAATAAATTCGTATTTGTCAAGACTTGGCTCGACTACTAAAAATATGACGGCCTCCGGTGAGTATTACTTTCTGATCTGCATATCCACTCAGGTTTTTTGGTCGATTAAGTCCAAAAACCTATGTTCACATTAATGGTTGTTCGTATTAAGGACGAGTAGAATACATTAATGAACATCTTCTGAGTTGGAACAAGCGAAAAATTTTAAACTTGGCAAAATCACTTGTTATTCGAATGAAAAAGGTTACACGTTGTATTTGTCTTCAGTTAATTGTCAAAATTATACTAGTGTGAGTCCATGATTCTAATGTGTGCTACGTACGTGTATAATATGAAATGAATTTACAGTTCATAGTTGTGTATAGGTCTTATTTGAACCCAATACGTTTACTGCGCTAATATAATTCTTTTTCACTGTTTTTCATAATGTGTACTTGTATTTCGAAGACCGAAAGGCAACTTTCATCTCCCAAGGATGATTTTGTAAAGTTAAGAAGCGAACTTAATGTCCAGGACTCAGACTTGGACGACTCGATAATGCTGTGGAAAGAAGAAGTTCAACAATTTGCAAGAGGTAACATTGTTTACTTTCAAATATTTTAGAAACATGGTTTAGTATTGTACAGTACTGTACTTATGGTTGATTTTTGTTCAAACATCATTTAAAACGAAACTATATTAAATAATTCTTGGCCTGGCTCAAATTTTTATGTTCGGCAATTATTATTTTTAACAATTTATTTTAGCTCCCGGAAAATATATACCTATACAGTATTGTATGGAGTGCTTAGTAATTACGTAGATAAATTAATATTTTTTATTTTTTGTATAGAACAACAAATTGGAGTTTCTTCGTTGAAAGGTGCCGCCGAAGAGTTCTTCCTTTGCATCAAACTGTTGAAAATGCTCAACATTTGGAGAATTTTGTAAAAGCTAACGATGGTCAAACGCAGACATTATTGGGTGATAGGCGTTTCGTTCATGACGCTCAAAACTAAGTGAAACAACTTGAACAAAATGCAACAAGATTGCTGGAATTGAAAAGACAGCTTTTAGATGGACATGTGACAGAGGAGCAGCTTCTTGAGCAAGGAAAGTCGCAGCTGGCAAAAATCACAGTAGCAAAGCTGCTGAAGAGATTAGAAATGTTGTATTTTTCAGTCAGTAGACGCACAAAAGAAATAACTTCTCTTGCTGGTGAGTTTTGTTGGGGTTTTTTATGAGTAACTGTAAGCATTATTTTAAAGTTCGTAGCAAAATCTAAGTGAGTTAGATTTTAGATGTAGGCGACACAAAATGCAAAATATGGAACAGTTTTATTCGAGATAAATTGTTTTATCTAAAAGTCAGCGGGTAAATACCATCTACACAATCCTCGTAGAAATTTGTAGACTTATATTTATGGGCCACCCTACACTTATTTTGTGCCGAATTATTTCAAAGCATTTTGCCAAATTACTGTAAAATTGCGATTTGTCGTTGTTACGTATATTATACATACACGTACTGTAGATTCTAGGAAACGAAGATTTTCCATGAGAAGGAAATGCGCTAAAGAGAAGTCCGAAATAACATCCACCGTAGAAGAGTTAAATTGCCTCGCAAGTCTGTGTGGTCTTCCCACGACAAGTGCGGAAGAAGTCACGTTTGGAGATTTTGTTTGGTCGTTTAACCAATGTGACATAGATAGTACGACTTCACATGGTGTGTAAAGGAATAGCAATTATAGCTCTATGTATATTGTGACGTCCATGCTCGCTTTTAGTTTCAACTATTTTACTTAACAATATTTAGATATACCTGTGCGCTTCAAGGCACAAATTGTCGATAAGTACATGGTAGTTAAAAGATTGGAAGAGGAAAAAGCACTTCTGAAAATGGAGATATATATTATATGATTTATTATTTGGAAAACGTTTTGCCTCTCCTTTGTGAAGGAAAAGAGAAGATTAAGGATAGGATAGGTATAAAGATAAATGATCGTATTAAGTTAAAACAAGCTTAAAGTGCCCCTGTCAAAAAAATGAAACTCACATATATGAATCTTTGTAATACGTACATGCGTTATTTGAAAATCGAATTTCGATTCTGAATTTAGTGCAGAAATTATAGTCATTTGAACATAGAATTTTGAGAAGTAAAAATTCGAAAACCGCGCATAAGAGATTGGTACCAAATCAGTCTAGTGACGTCACAGTAGGATCCGGTCAGGCCTATTGATCCACGAAAACATTAGAGCGTGTATTGTCGAAGTGTTCTTGTACTGTAGTTGGCGGCCCGAAAAGTCACGCAAAATAGAAAATGCCAAATAGATGTATTGTGGCTGGTTGCTCTAATGTCTCTAATGTAAAAAGGAGTCTCGCTTCATTTCATACCGTTTTCCGGAGATGAAAGGCCAGAAGCCAAAATAAGACGTAAACAATGGATTGATTTCGTACGGTTGAAACGGGCAAAATGGGATCCAACACCTAATTCCAGTATTTGCTCAGCACATTTCGCAAAAGAAGATTTTCGCAAATGTTTTCTGGTCTGTCGGCTAAAGTACCTAGATTAGCTACCGATGAGATTGGCGTCGTGGCAGTCCCTAAATATAATATTGCAGCTGAATGTCCCCCGTCAGCAAGAGCCAAGAGAAGGGTAAGTTTATTCATTCCATTTCAAGAGATTAACGCACGCTTTTAAAACATGGTAAATACAGTAAAATACACATGAACCTATTTTGAGAATCACTGTTTTGTACATAAATTTGTTGACATTTTCGAAAGGTTTTAAAGGAAGCATTGTCCACAAGTTTGTCTCGACCAGGAGAATCAGAAGAAGAGCCAGAGGATTTCGAACACTGCGTGCCAATGGAATTAAATGTGGATAAAGAGATACCAAGCGATGTTCCTTGCAGCAAAGTATATAGTATATACCTTTATTCCTGCTAGTATAGTGCGATCTTACAATTTGACTTGCCATTCGTGAGCTTTTCTGTCAAAACGTATGTTGACCCCTACTGACATTATGCATACATTTTAAGAAAGACTTTTTCTTTTAGACAAACAGCGCTTTGACTCAGACAGATGGTTGTGTTGGTTGTGCGTACCTACTGAAAGAGAAAAGGAAATCATGGAACAAATATGTAGCTCTGAAAGCAAAATACGATGAATTAGTGAAAGCCAAACGTTCTAAAGGTATCGTGTTTGGCACATAAGTACTGCACACGTTTCGTGTTTTCACTACAGGGGAAACCCGTATAATAATTCCGGCATTTATCAGCCGTGGTGCCGGTTATTATAGCTGTATTGCTAAACTCACGCAATAGAATTAAAAGAAGACATTTTATGTTAAATGATAATTTTATGAAACTTTTTTAAATTAACTTGTTCGATTTGTTTATTATTATGTAGGTGTTCAGTGCAATATACTGAATATAATATAAAAGAAATCCCGATGAATTATATTACAAAACCATCAAATAATTACCATTGGTCATATTTCTCTTCGCCGTCAAGTCTACGTTGAAGTTCTTTCAAACGGTCATCATATTTTTGTTTTCTTCCACGGTAGTTAGAAAGCCATTCTTCATCAGCAACTGGTTCATTGCTGTATGGGCCAACGTCTGCGTTGTCATCTGTGCTTTTGACGTCTTTAGTAGCGGACGCTTCACTTGTCTTTTTTATATCGAATATCCCGGGATAATAATTCCAATCAGAGTCGTCTGTTTGGTAGCTAGTACTTTCCGTGTCTGAGTTCGATGAGGACATTATTAGAAAAATTGAGCGAGTTTTGATTGTAAATATCGACCTTTGTACAATAATTTTTACTATTTGTAAACAAGCTGAGATGCGAACCGGTTCCTACTGTGACGTATTAGTTACCAGGTTTCCGACTTCGCGATTTTAAAAAACTTTTGCCGTTAAAATTTGAAAATTTTGCAATTCATACCGCAATAACTCGGCAAAAATCGTTTTAATTTAATTCTGATTTCCATTTTCATTATGTACATATTACAAAGATTCATATGTGTGAGTTTCATTTTTTTGACAGGGCACTTTAAAGGTTACGTATTTATATACAGTGGAATGTAATGTACATGCGTTTAACATATTTTGCAATTATTTTTTTAGTATTTACAAATAATGTTGATGCATAAACCTTGGCCGACAATGAAGTAAAAAATTAATGCATGTTTTAATCCAGAAGAAGCAATTATTTTTAAGAACTTAGCACGGCAAAACAAGCACTCAAATGAATACCATCTCCCTAAACTATTAAGATTGCTATATCACTGTTGGGCACAATCATTATGACTCTAGGATGCTATAACACTTCTTGTATTTCATTTGCAATAAATATGTGACAAACCTACAATTTTTTTGGAAGATACATTCTGTATCATCTAATTCTAGTACATCAAAATCTATAAAAAATAATGTTAACAAATTAAAATATTGTAATTACTAATTAACAAACTTTACAAATAAATGAGCATGTGATATTGAGAAAAACATACTGAGGAACAGCAAGGTAATCATGCCAAAGGTTCTAGTCCAACTATATAATTTTTACACTGAACATGAAAATACCCTTCTTTTTGATAGTAAACGGTTTACAGTTTAACTTGCCACTTGGAAAGTCTTGTACACACTTACAAGTGTACAAAATTGTTATAGTTTAACTTGTCAAAGAAAAAATATCTACAACATCAGATTGACATGTATTTTGCAGGTGATCACAGCAATATGATACTGGCAGCTATTCAAGTTAACTTGAAAGAACTTTCTTTTTCAAAATATAACTCTTTTGGACAAACTTAAGTTACTTAGTATTTAAAACATTGTAATCTTGAAGCTTATTTGTTTCTTACAATCAATATTCGTCCAAGGTTACCTTAACTTGTGGACTGATCCTGTAAGTCGGGTGTAGCTAACTATGCTAAATCATATCACTCATATGTGCATGCTATTGTTAGTTTTGTATAGTAATTTCTATCTGTAAAATAGTTTACTAGAGTTGTTTGCTCATTAAGATGCATTTATGACCAAGAAGGGATGGATAAGCACTCTTGTTTATCTTTTCAAAAAGCAAGCAAAGTATAGGTCTCCTAAAAGCTAACATAGCCTTCAATACATAAATTAGCCACTGGATTGGCCTATGTATTTCAGTATTTTTAAATTTATAACTTAAGTGTAATGTGTAAAATTACTTACCACTATCATTGTTTTGGAGCAATTATAGAATACCCGTCCAATTTGTAAAGGCACCCTTTTAATTCTGCGGATACGTGGATACGCAGTGACGAGTTTAAAGAACGAGGCATAAGATAAGAGGACTAGTTTAAAGAACGAGGCATAAGATAAGAGGACTAGTACCTATATAAAGAAAGTTAGTTGAAGCTATGTTTTTTAGTGGATACGCGGATACGTGGATACGCAGTGACGAGTTTAAAGAACGAGGCATAAGATAAGAGGACTAGTTTAAAGAACGAGGCATAAGATAAGAGGACTAGTACCTATATAAAGAAAGTTAGTTGAAGCTATGTTTTTTAGTGGATACGCGGATACGTGGATACGCAGTGACGGGTCGGCACTAGATCATGGACGTCACAATATACATAGAGCTATAATTGCTATTCCTTTACACACCATGTGAAGTCGTACTATCTATGTCACATTGGTTAAACGACCAAACAAAATCTCCAAACGTGACTTCTTCCGCACTTGTCGTGGGAAGACCACACAGACTTGCGAGGCAATTTAACTCTTCTACGGTGGATGTTATTTCGGACTTCTCTTTAGCGCATTTCCTTCTCATGGAAAATCTTCGTTTCCTAGAATCTACAGTACGTGTATGTATAATATACGTAACAACGACAAATCGCAATTTTACAGTAATTTGGCAAAATGCTTTGAAATAATTCGGCACAAAATAAGTGTAGGGTGGCCCATAAATATAAGTCTACAAATTTCTACGAGGATTGTGTAGATGGTATTTACCCGCTGACTTTTAGATAAAACAATTTATCTCGAATAAAACTGTTCCATATTTTGCATTTTGTGTCGCCTACATCTAAAATCTAACTCACTTAGATTTTGCTACGAACTTTAAAATAATGCTTACAGTTACTCATAAAAAACCCCAACAAAACTCACCAGCAAGAGAAGTTATTTCTTTGTGCGTCTACTGACTGAAAATACAACATTTCTAATCTCTTCAGCAGCTTTGCTACTGTGATTTTTGCCAGCTGCGACTTTCCTTGCTCAAGAAGCTGCTCCTCTGTCACATGTCCATCTAAAAGCTGTCTTTTCAATTCCAGCAATCTTGTTGCATTTTGTTCAAGTTGTTTCACTTAGTTTTGAGCGTCATGAACGAAACGCCTATCACCCAATAATGTCTGCGTTTGACCATCGTTAGCTTTTACAAAATTCTCCAAATGTTGAGCATTTTCAACAGTTTGATGCAAAGGAAGAACTCTTCGGCGGCACCTTTCAACGAAGAAACTCCAATTTGTTGTTCTATACAAATAAAAATATTAATTTATCTACGTAATTACTAAGCACTCCATACAATACTGTATAGGTATATATTTTCCGGGAGCTAAAATAAATTGTTAAAATAATAATTGCCGAACATAAAAATTTGAGCCAGGCCAAGAATTATTTAATATAGTTTCGTTTTAAATGATGTTTGAACAAAATCAACCATAAGTACAGTACTGTACAATACTAAACCATGTTTCTAAAATATTTGAAAGTAAACAATGTTACCTCTTGCAAATTGTTGAACTTCTTCTTTCCACAGCATTATCGAGTCGTCCAAGTCTGAGTCCTGGACATTAAGTTCGCTTCTTAACTTTACAAAATCATCCTTGGGAGATGAAAGTTGCCTTTCGGTCTTCGAAATACAAGTACACATTATGAAAACAGTGAAAAGAATTATATTAGCGCAGTAAACGTATTGGGTTCAAATAAGACCTATACACAACTATGAACTGTAAATTCATTTCATATTATACACGTACGTAGCACACATTAGAATCATGGACTCACACTAGTATAATTTTGACAATTAACTGAAGACAAATACAACGTGTAACCTTTTTCATTCGAATAACAAGTGATTTTGCCAAGTTTAAAATTTTTCGCTTGTTCCAACTCAGAAGATGTTCATTAATGTATTCTACTCGTCCTTAATACGAACAACCATTAATGTGAACATAGGTTTTTGGACTTAATCGACCAAAACCTGAGTGGATATGCAGATCAGAAAGTAATACTCACCGGAGGCCGTCATATTTTTAGTAGTCGAGCCAAGTCTTGACAAATACGAATTTATTTGCTCAACTTCTTCGCCAGCAGTTGCTGCCGCACCACTTTGCCATCTTCCGCTCCAAATAACCTAAAAAGTGTGAAAAGAATCATCCATTCAAGACAACCCATTTCAGATTTACGTAACCACGGTTTATAATTACGTGAAATACAGTACTATCACAGTTTGACAAAGCACGCTTCGTCTCACAACATCTTTAATAGAGCATTATCGTCGGTGTATGTGGTATTTAGCGTACGAATTATTGGGTAAACAATCATAACCTACGTATGTAACGTACCTGACATGACCAACTGTGTGATTTCCCATGCATTATAGACAGTGCTGGTGCAGTATTTCTTAAAGCATTTTGATTTTCTTCCGATGTAACACGTAGAGCCCACGGCCAATATTTGCATATAATATCTTCCCACATATATTTAACTTTATGTGGTTGTAAAAAATTCATATGCAAGTAGTGAGCATCGACATAAATTTCTCCTCTGAAAAGTTCAAAGTAGCTTGAGCAATCGAATGCCTGCATCCAGCAACTTCAAGTCCAGTCTCGTCTTGGTTTTTCTTTGATTTGGAGATCATTTTTGCAGCTTTCCAATGAGTGTCACCACAAGAATTATCTTCATTCTATAAAAAATGCTTTAACTTAATAATAGATTACTACTTTTCAATACTACTTCATAACACATTACCTGAATTGACTTTGAACCAAGACTTTTTAAATGAGAGTCCACAAAACTGTTGTTTGCAATCAGTACATCATGATAATAACACTGGACTGGACCCTGTGGTAAAAGTAAGCTATCAATTAGAACACAAGCACTCATAAACCCAACAATGTAGGTAAAGAATCAACATGAGCAGTAGGTCTTTTCTTGGATTTGAACATAAAAGTATCTGAATTGTTTACAAAGGGTAATTCCATTTTTGGAAGTTTGAGAATTCGCTATCCAATATCACAAACCTTGGTACTTTGCTGAGTCTGTACACTTTTTGATTTCCATCAACATGAAATGAATGTTAATCAATGCTACAAGGAGGGCAATATTTACTTTTCTGCTCATGAAGAAGGTCAAAGTCGTGTTAGCAAACAATTTTCTGTAGGTGACTGGATTGATAACATTTTCCTAATGAAACCAGTTCCAAATCAAAACATAGCACAATTATATACTATTTGTTGATTATGCAAAACCCAACTGTACTATAACATAGTTCTCATACTTCAAACGTACACATTACATGTATATGAAGCCTACATAAATTGACATGTGTTTGTTACAAATTTTAAACACATTTTCCTTGACTTTCCAGAATTTGCCAAAATTCACAGAAAGAAATGATCATAAGGGATTATTTTGAAACCAAGATTTACATCTTGTAGCTTTGGTTTGCGAGACAAAAATATACACAAAATAAAAGCACACTAACAAAGATATGTAGATAGCATAAAAATTAATCACCTATCCTCTAGAGCTGGAAATATCTTCCAAACTTCTTACAAAAGCAGATTGTGATGACCCAGGAAACCTCTTTCTAAATGCATCCCACAAATTGAAGACATCTTGACTAAATATGTAATGAACATGTTCAGGGCTATCAGGCACTACCGTGAAATTGGCACCACATTGGGATCACATTCAACACAACATTCATCACAACATTCATCACCACATTCAACTAAAATTTATCATTCAAAATGATAAATTGAAAATCGTCTTTAAACACTTTTTCAGTAAAAAACAATTCTTAACTACTTATTAATATTTTACTGTCCTTAAACATCACAAATTTTTTTTTATTTTTTTTTATTTATTGAAGAAAACGTATTTTATTATGATCATTACTATCTATTACAAATATAAATGTTAAAAAACTAAATCAAATATGACTAAAATCAGTGTTTAAAATATCCATGATAAAGGGACAGTCAAATGTAAAGACAACTTTTCCAATAACCTAGGTCAATATTTAAAGTATGTTCACGAGTTGAGGCAGATCGACTTCCTCGTATCGCGGTAATTGCTGACCTAATCAGTGCGAAAGACAGTTTACAACGCATCCACGCTAGCGTGATGCCATATTGCAGCTTTCTCTTTTGTGCCAGCAGATCAGCTAGCCGTTTATAAGCAATTTCCGTCTCTTTCCCCATACCACCTGATGTTGAAAAGACCAGTGGTGTAAAAGCAGCATATTCAATCTCTCTTACTCGATCACCATATTCCCTTTTCTTAGCCATCTCATGCTGACGATAGAGTGCAGGTAGATTGGTGTTTTGGTAGCTCGATGCGTTTGGGTGAAATACCCTTACATCAAAAAATGCATCTTGCTGTCTAGACCAAAAACCTTTAGCACGAATATCTAGTCTCGCTTCTTCTTGTCTATTGGCTGTACGAGGTAATATCACTTCCCCACATCACAAAGAAAGTATAAAAGTCAAGAAATTGAAGAAAACACTAAGCTTTAGGTTACAGTGTACTTTTCATTTCTCTTAATCAGCGTATATTTTAAAAACTACACGGTATAATTTTTTTAAACTTGGCCAGAATATACATAATTGTATTGTCTAAAATATATCCAAAATCTGGAGAGCGCACAAAAATATAAATGTAGAAAATCATCGACAAAGTCGGATGACACGAATGTGCATAATATAATCTTATATAATTAAGTTCCTATATCCATGTAATTTTTCAAACAAAGGCCTATAAATAAAAAACTACACGGTAGAATTTTTTTAAACTTTGCCATATTGTAGATATTTTTATTGTCTAAAATATATCCAAAATCTGGAGTGTGCACAAAAAAAAAAGTTGTAGAAAATCATCGACAAAGTTAGGTGACACGAATACGCGTAATATGATCTTATATAATTAAGTTGAGAATTCCAAATCATTACTAAAGCACGCCGCACACTGGAGGAACTTGCCTACGCCAAGTGTCATTCGTGATACTTGGCGTAAGCACTTTCCTCTAGTGTGCGGTGCCGTTTGGAGCGCTTTTTGTCACGCGTGTCACTTGCATCTGATATTCAACATGTTGAATAATTTTTGCCACGAGTGATACTTTACTCCAAGTGTGCGGTGAACGAAAGCTTCTAGCTTACAGCTTCAATCTAATACGCATGCGTTGTGTGCACTCTGATACAACAAAACAAACATGGCGGCGAGCCCCAGCTCTACCAGTGCAGTTGTTGCCGAAGCAATTTTGGAAGACCAAATCGCTGATTTGTGGCCTGAATACCCATGCCTATACGATGTTAGGTCACCAGAGTTTAAAAATAGAGAAATGAGAGAGCGTGCTTTGGAAGAATTGGCTGAAAATTGGGTCAAACTGGTAAGTCAAATTCAATTGAATTTGTTGATTCAACTGTGAAATGTCTTAGTGATTATTAGCGCTTATTTTGCAGTTGCATGGTTAAAATCTAAATTGAAAGCATTACGAAATAGTTACGTGAAAGCCAAGAAACCATCAGCAAGTGGGAGTGCTAGGAAAAATCCTACGAAACGGTCAACGTGGCTGTTGGAGAAATTACAGTTTTTAGCTCCCCACGTGGCTTTTAGGGCGTCTGTTTCCAACTTGGATACGGTATGGAATTTTACACTCAAAGACATGTATAAATCAGTTAAATTCATTTTTCATTGGTTTAAATACTCTTGAAATATTTATATGTAACTAAAATTTATGACATATCAACAATTTGGTTTTGCCATGGCACTGCTCCATCATTGTTGAAATAAATTGTTAGCAGTTCACGTTGAACTTTTGCACCTCTAGATGTATTATGCACTAATGTACGCTGCATGTCAGTTAAGTTTGGGTCATTCCTCCAAGTTCCAGGTGATATTGTGTGATCTGCATTCTCTTGGTCAACTGCTACGGTATATGTTGCTTTGTTCTTGTTGATCATGTAATTGTGCAAGCAACAGGCAGCTAATATAATATCGGTTATTTTGTCTGGGGTCAGTTTGATAGTGGTTAAAAACACTCGCCATCTATGTGCAAATATGCAAAAGCATTTTCAACTACCGCGTGCCCTTGACAATCTGTAGTTAAAAATGCGCTGTCCTTTTTCTAAGTTACGATGAGGATAAGGTTTCATCAGGTTGGTTGACATGGGAAATGCATCATCGCCAACAATGTGACAATGTATTTTGTTGCTATCCCTTGTACATTTTGTGGAGAGGGAAGATTTAAAATGTTGGATGATAATGCCCTTTCAATGCAGAATCTCTGAATACTCCAGCATCCCCAGAAAGACCTGCTGCTCCAACATCCACATAAATGAACTTGTAATTAGCATCAACAAGGGCCAAGAGAATAACACTGAAGTAATGTTTGTAATTAAAAAACTCTGATCCACTTGCAGTAGGTTGCTGGATACTAATATGTTTTCCATCTATGGCACCTATGCAGCATGGGTAGTTCCACTTGCTTTCAAAGTCACCAACAATTTTCAACCAATCTTCTTCTTTGCAAGGAGTCTAAAATGAACAATCTTTTGTTTAGGTGTCATGTACAACACCTACATCAGATCTCAGCACTGTAGAGCTTGATGACAGCATTGAAGATGACAATTTCTCAATTGAAAATGAATCATGGGAAAACAATGATACTGACACAATTGAAATAGTAAAGTCAACAAAAGAACCACTCAAATCCAGGCAAATTAACACAAAAAGAGGCAAGCTGATCACGAATATTCCTTGATAAAAAATCTTTCTGATTCAATTTCTCAAAGAAACAAGAAACCCAAACCTGATGAAACTTCAAAAAAACAATATGATGCATTTGGAAAATATGTATCTCAAGCACTATCAGATTTGGACAGTGCAACACGTCATCTGGCCCAACATCAAATAAACAATATTATATTCCAGGCTCAAACTGGAATGCTAACTCAGGATTCACAACAAGCAGTGGTGGTACAACCGCAATACAACCAATTTCGGCCCATACAATCATATCACATTCCCTCGACAAACAACTATCCCACATCTCCATTCAACTAAGCAAGTCCTCCGCTACATAATTCCTTTGTCAGCGATGAGCAGCAAATTGGGATGGCTTTTGTCTGGATGGTCATCACAAAAATCAGACGGACATACTCTGAACAGCCTCATTTTAGCAGCCGACTGCCTTGATAATTCTACTGTCGTAACCGATAGGGATGAGTTAACAATATCATTGAAGCGTTTTTGGGAAACTGAGAGCGTTGGCATTGACTCCTTTGACTCGGAGAACTCACACGAGGAACAAGATTTTGTGCGAAATATTCAATTCACGCTACGAAGTTGGTCTGCCGTGGAAAAATGATCATGTGCAAATTGATGACGATTACGAACTCTGTCATAATAGATTGAGATCATTGCATCGAAAACTGCTAAAGGATCCACAAAATCTTGAAGAATACAATAATGGTATTACTGAACAATTGGCAGCAGGAATAGTCGAAAGGGTTCCGGCATCTGATAAGGATTGTGGTAAAATTCACTATCTTCCCCATCATTGTGTCATACGAAAGGATAAGGTTACTACGAAGCTACGCGTTGTATATGATGGATCTGCTACGACGAACTTGCGTAACTTTTCACTAAACCATTGCTTACTGACCGGGCCGAACCTCATTCCACAAATCTTTGATTTGCTCGTCAAATTTCGACAAAACAAGATTGGGCTAGTTGCTGACATTGAGAAAGCATTCTTAATGATTGGAATTGACAAGGAAGATAGAGACATGCTTCGTTTTTTGTGGCTAAGGGATGCTAGGGATCCTCATTCAGAAGTATTAAAGCTAAGGTTTTGTCGATTGGTTCTTGGTCTACGACCTTCGCCAGCAATTCTAGTAGCTACTATCAACCATCATTTGAAGACACACGAGAAGCAGGAGACAGAAACTGTTGAACACTTGAAAAATTCTCTGTATGTCGATGATTTTGTGTCCGGTGCTGAAACCGATGAAACCGCTTTGCAAATATACAAGGGAACAAGGCAGTTGATGGCCAAAGGTGGATTCAACTTGCGAAAATGGAACTCGAATTCCAGTAACGTAGTGAAGTCTATCGAAGCGTTAGAAGGTAAAAAGAATTTGAGCTTGATTAGTGACAAGTCAAGCGTTAGTCAAGATGATCAGTCCTTTACAAAGTCGACAATTGCAAAAGAGTCACTGCTCACGGAGCCCACTCAAGTCAAAGTACTAGGAATGGTGTGGGATACGGTGGAGGACACATTTCTATTCAATTTGACTGAAATAATCGAGTTCGCCAATTCATTACCTGTCACAAAGCGATCGTTGTTGAAATGGTCATCTAAAATCTTCGATCCCCTTGGATTCTTGTCTCCTTTTACGATAAGGCTCAAGATTCTGTTTCAAATCATGTGCTTGGATAGACTGGGATGGGACTGTGAACTGCATGGCAATCTGCGTGAACAGTGGAACGTTTTATTGTCAGAGTTAAGGTTTCTAAAATGATGTTCGTGTACCGAGGTGCTTTTATCCACCCCAACCGAAATACTTTACTGCACAAGTTCATGGATTCAGTGATGCATCTGAAAGTGCAATTGGTGCTGTTGTCTATGTAAGAACAGTTTATGAGAATGGTACCATCGACGTAAAATTAATCGCTTCAAAGACAAAGGTCGCACCAGTGAAAAAGCAAACGATTCCCCGTTTAGAGCTGGTGGCAGCAACTGTACTAGCGAAGTTAGTAGAGTCTTTGTTAAAGGCACTCAAGTGGAGTCTGGAAGTTTTTTATTGGGTTGATTCGATGACAGCACTTCACTGGATACGAAACGATCGAGCATGGAAACCATTCGTGCAGCATCGAGTGAACAAGATTCGAAGTATTTCGTTGACGGAATCTTGGAACTTTTGTCCTGGATCACTTAATCCAGCAGATTTACCCTCACGAGGTATTTCTGGGCAACTACTTTCGAATTCTTCCTCGTGGTTCAATGGACCCAAATTCTTGGCAAGGGACGAAGAAGAGTGGCCAAAACGTCCAGTTGGCAACCTCTCACAAAGTGACGAAGTTCTGAGGGAAATTGTGAAAGAGCATCCGAATGTCGTAAGATCACTAGTTTCGAATGAAATCAAACAACGAGCCATGCCAGATCTTAACAAAGCAATCGACATTACTCGTTATAGCTCCATGAAGCAACTTCTTCGAACAACTGCTTATGTAATGAGATTCATCAACATGTTAAAGAAGATGCCACGGTGCGAGCGAACAACAAACAAACTCACAACCTCAGAAGAACTAAGCTCAGACGAAATAAGGAAGGCGCAGCTGCTGTGGATAAGGTCTATTCAACAACTATCTTTTGAAAAGGAAATATTATTCCTACTGTCAAAGAAGGTGAATTCTTCAATACCCATTTATGTTAAGCAATTTGGGCTATTTCTTGACGGTGATCACGTGCTGCGGTGCCATGGGAGACTGAAGAATTCATCGCTGAATCTGGAGAGCAAAAATCCTGTATTGCTTCCAAAGGAATCAAGATTTGTGGAGTTATTAATATGCGAGGTTCACCACAATGTGAAGCACAGCGGTATTCGTGATACACTAACAACCATTAGAGAGCATTTTTGGATAATCCGTGGTCGAGAAGCAGTAAAGAAAATCGTCAGGAAATGTGTCGTTTGTCGTAAAGCCGAAGGTCTTCCTTATGGGGGAACGCCTCCTCCAGATCTTCCTGTTAGCAGAGTGTCGGATGATCCCCCTTTCACAAACGTAGGTTTGGACTTTGCCGGACCTTTGTTCGTACGAGAGAGTTGTGAAAGGAATAATTTGTCAAATAATCCAACAAAGGTGTATATTCTATTGTTTACGTGTGCGTCTACTAGAGCCATTCATCTGGAGCTCACTCCTTCCTTAAGCGTTCCAGCCTTTCTCCGCGCGTTCCGCAGATACGCTAGTCGACGAGCACTGCCAGCTCTTCTTATATCCGATAATGCTAAGACTTTCCGAGCTGCATGCTTAGAAATTCGCAAGTTATGTCGTTCTGAGGAAGTGTTACGCTATCTTGCAAACCATCAGATTACATGGCAATTTATCGTCGAAAAGGCCCCTTGGTGGGGAGGCTTCTGGGAACGTTTGATTCGAAGCGTGAAACGTCCGTTGCGAAAGGTAGTTGGTAGAACCAATCTAACCTACGACGAGTTGCATACTATTGTGGTTGAAATCGAGGGCGTAATAAATGCACGACCCCTAACCTACGTGTACGATGATGAAGAAGCTGTATCTCTTCCGCTAAGCCCGTCGCACTTGGTGTATGGAAGACGAATAACGACCATGCCAAACAGTGAGCACTTTGAAATTCAGAGCACCTATCAATCTTTGACGAGAAAGGCGAAACATCACAAAATTTACTGCAACGTTTTACTCTTCAATGGAGAAACGAGTATCTTTTAGCCTTACGAGAGCAATACACTTCAAAATCAAGAGGTAATCAAAATCCCGAAATAGCAGTTGGAGATATCGTCATTATTCGCAACGATCAAACAAAACGTATCTTTTGGAAGGTGGCGAAGGTTGAACAATTGTTACAAGGTGGCGATGGAATTACACGAGCTGCACAAGTCAGAGTCCTTCGTGGAGACTCTAGTCATTCACACTTGTTGCGACGTTCTATCAGGCAACTTATTCCAATTGAGGTTCATCAGGAAGAAGACAGTAACGAAAGAGTAGAGAACGATAAGAAAGGCGAAGAAGAACAAGTGCTTCGTCCAACTGATCGACCACAACGCAGCGCGGGAATAACAGGACAATTGCGAAGATTGCAGAATACAAACAAGCTCTAAACAACTGTACATTCTTAGCTAAAAATAGTTTTGTTTTTTTTTGTTTTGTTTGTTGACAACATTTTATTATGTCAACCCTGGGGAGTGTAAGAAACATTAGACTACTAATTATAAATGCACAATAGAAAAGAAAAACATGTCAATCATACTTCAGTTAAATATACATATCGAAGGCGAAAACATCTTGTTTTTATTCCGTCCAAAGATTTGTGAGCATATATTTCGAACGATCATTAAAAGCCTCGTTCTTTAAAATCGTCACTGCGTATCCGCGTATCCACTAAAAACATAGCTTCAACTATCTTTCTTTATATAGGTACTAGCCTCTTATCTTATGCCTCGTTCTTTAAACTCGTCACTGCGTATCCGCGTATCCACTAAAAAACATAGCTTCAACTAACTTTCTTTATATAGGTACTAGTCCTCTTATCTTATGCCTCGTTCTTTAAAATCGTCACTGCGTATCCGCGTATCCACTAAAAAACATTGCTTCAACTAACTTTCTTTATATAGGTACTAGTCCTCTTATCTTATGCCTCGTTCTTTAAAATCGTCACTGCGTATCCGCGTATCCACTAAAAAACATAGCTTCAACTAACTTTCTTTATATAGGTACTAGTCCTCTTATCTTATGCCTCGTTCTTTAAAATCGTCACTGCGTATCCGCGTATCCACTAAAAAACATAGCTTCAACTAACTTTCTTTATATAGTTACTAGTCCTCTTATCTTATGCCTCGTTCTTTAAAATCGTCACTGAGTATCCGCGTATCCACTAAAAAACATAGCTTCAACTAACTTTCTTTATATAGGTACTAGTCCTCTTATCTTATGCCTCGTTCTTTAAACTCGTCACTGCGGTCGGCACTAGATCATGGTCAACTAACGTACGTGCCCACATATTATTCTTATTATGTCAGCGGTAAGTAACAATTGACGAATATTCATGTATATATTCATTATGCGAATGATTTTACCGCACTACATATTGCGTTTGCATATGGCAATAAGGCAAATTGGCAATAGAGAAAGCGAGAAAAGATTACAAAGATTTCAATTCAATTTTGGTCAGATGTACTTTCTTTGAAATGTCTGCCTTGCAGAAGTAATGGATTGATAGTATTTTACAATACAATAACCGCACTTCAAGAATTGCAAATTCACTGGACCTAAGGTGAACAATGTGATGTTATAAAGTAGAAATCGACTCTATTTGTATTATAGATATGATATTAAATATTTTCCTGTTATTTGTAGTACTAATAAAAATTATTATAGATGATAAACACACCCATCTAGATTCGTATCTTCAAATTTTTTTCCAAACTTCCTGCATAATGATATAAAGTTTGTGTGTTTAATGTGTTTGACTGTTTGTCCATACTTGCTTGTAATTTTCTGATTTGAGTTAATGTACAGGTGTGGTAACTTTTTTAACTTTGTTAAAGTTATTGTCAGGAAATTTAGAAAACTCATTGTCTCCAGCAGTGCCATCCACACAGTGAACCACAATCTAACTTAAGTGCTCATTAAATGAAATGGATAGTTTTCAATTGAGCATATTGATTTATCACGAAAAATTGATAGGTAATCATAGTATAGGTGCAGCCAGATCGAATGTTGAGTTGTGATATCAATCACAGTAGCTAATTCATATATGTTCTTGAAAATACTTTAAAACAAGAAATGGTAACAATATATCTTAACATGTAACACTGGGTATTCTCTACATTCATCTCTGGCAAAAATTTTCACATTGAATCTCTGAGCACCAAAATAAATTCTATTATGGAAAAACAGATTGTTCAGAAAAACCTTTGAGCATATAATTCCTTCCATTGTCAAAGGATTTTTCGAACAGTTTAAAAGGCTCCCACCTGCTTTTGTTATGCTTGTGGCATAGACCCAGTGCTGTAGAGCATAACTTGCCTTAGATGCAACTCTCTCAAATAGTGAAATGTAATTGTAAAAAGTCATTGCATGATGTCATAGTGTTTGCAAATAATATTACCACTTAACATGAACAAGTTTCTTTATCAATTTTGTAAACTAAAAATCTTTGTCAAGTTGGGGTGCTCTGTGCTCTGCAATGACCATCCATAATTTCATGAAGAATGCTCGACTTCCATGCAACCACCTCCCAAACAGCATTGAATGCACCATTTCTTGATTTTATGGTCATATGAGAAGATACAATGGCATTTGGCTAAATGTTTTTCGAGCAACAAAAAATTCATATTTTCCTACATTGTAAAATTGCAACTTGCCATACGTATATTCTATGAGAATCTAAACATAAAAAGCGCGGGAAATCATGGAATTGTTGCCAAATGCTAGTTCGAAAATGGAGTTTCCAATGAAGTATGCTGAGTGAAGCAAAAAACAACAGCAGTTTAGACGAAGGTATTGTAATATGCAATTCCAAAGAAGAAATGCTGGAAATATTCGGTGATTATAAAAAACAAACTCGCAGTGGGTGGTGCTGTCTCAACAGAAATAAATTGATAGGTATATATTATATAATAACTTCAATGTAGAAAGCATACGCTTGTCCAGAGATATACTACTTTTTGGTTATTGTGCAATGGTGAAGAAAGAAATTTCACAAAATTTCATACACATATTAAAGCAGAACTTTTGTTTAAATTTAAATATTAAAGCATGATAACATGTATGAACCGAATACTTAATGATGACATGTATGAACCAAATACTTAATGATGACATGTATGAACCAAGTACCTAATGATGACATGTATGAACCAACTATTTAATGATGACATGTATGAACCAACTATTTAATGATGACATGTATGAACCATATACTTAATGATGACATGAATGAACTGATGTAAGTGCTTAATAGACAAGACTACAGACGAAATACTCGCTGAGAAAGGTTCATTTGAAAGTATTACCCAAGCAATTCAATGTCACAATATTGGTCACCACTGGATGGTTTCTACATCCATAACTGGTGAAATAGTAGTCTTTGAATCTATGAGTATCAACCTGAATTCATCATTAAAAAGGCAACTCCAGAATGTTTAGAAAAACCTCCAAGAACAGGATGGTTCTTTAAACGTCAAAATGATTCTCCAACAACATCAAAAAGGATCATCAGATTGTGGTCTTTTTGCTGTGGCAAATGCTGTTGCTTTGGCTAATGGTGTGAACCCTTGCTCTGTTACCTGGCTGCAGGAGAAGATGCGAGTGCATCTGGTCAAATGCTTTGAAGAACAAAAAATCGAGATGTTTCCCCACATTGAGAATGCAAAGCAAACCTGCTATTCAAAAAATTATATTCTGTGAGAAAATAGTAATTGTAAGCATCTAACATAAAAATAATCATGTATCGCTTCACTTTTGCTTGCAAACATGTACACTGTAATTACTCAAATTGGAACCCCTTGACAAATCATGCATGTATATATCTGTAAATAATATTAAACAAAATTAACATTTTCTATTTGTGAATCATGGACATGGTATTTATTTTTACAACTAACTGGGGACATATAACTAATACTGTCTAGAAAATGTAGAAATAATAAATTTACCTTATAAATTTTACACAGTTGTGTAGCGAGCCCGGAAGATAATTTGGTCGTGTTATGTAAATTTGATATTAGGAGCAATTATAGAATACCCGTCCAATTTGTAAAGGCACCCTTTTAATTCTGCGGATACGTGGATACGCAGTGACGAGTTTAAAGAACGAGGCATAAGGATCAGCAATAATGCGAACCACGTTACTTAATATTAAAGTTTAAATTGAATTTTGAAAAATATTCAATCAGAAGAGCATACACTTAACAATAAACGATTGAGGATATTCAAAACCTCGCGGGATAGTAGATTGCCGTAAGTTATAAGTTGCGTGATGCGACCAGGCAGGCAAGTCACCAGGAGGATGGATCAGCAATAATGCGAACCACGTTACTTAATATTAAAGTTTAAATTGAATTTTAAAAAATATTCAATCAGAAGAGCATACACTTAACAATAAACGATTGAGGATATTCAAAACCTCGCGGGATAGTAGATTGCCGTAAGTGATAAGTTGCGTGATGCGACCAGGCAGGCAAGTCACCAGGCCTGTTGTTTGAACGGACGTTTCAAATTGACTTATAGAGTAGATATTGTAGATATTTATATTGTTTAAAATATATCCAAACTCTGGAGAGTGCACAAAAAAATAAGTTGTAGAAAATCATCGACAAAGTTAGGTGAAACCAATGCGCGTAATATAATCTTATATAATTAAGTTAATTATAGCAAAGACATCGACTGGAAAGGTGTCGATACAAAAGATGAACAAAATACTAAAATATTGTACGAATTCACTTTTAATTGTATCCTAATAACGAAAATAGGAAGCATAAACGACTACAGTTGATCTCGTGAGATAAATAGCAACAATTGCGAAATTTCGGGCGTAACAAAAGTCAAATGTTGCGCCAAATTGAAGTTTCTATCGCATTGCACTGTTTACACTACGCCGCCACGTATGGCATTGCTTTTCGTGTCACCTTCAGAGCGGAGTGATTTTCGCTACACTAGACATACCGGTTGATCCGTCGCAGTGTAAACAGCAGCCCAACCCGATACAAAAATCACGGCGCGACGATGCAATCTGGTATAGGGTAAACTGGGCCAAAATAAACGAATTTTACTTCGCTATATAAACGCTTATCTACAACTAGCCACGATTCTCTGTGTGGTTTAGAGTAGGTGACGCGGGCATAAGAGCTCTCTGTTCTTAAATCCACGTTAAAGAATCTTGAGATCAAAACCCAACCGTTCAGGTTTAAAGGTCAAACATCGAGTCAAATGCTTGCATGAAAAGATCATTTTGTAATCTTTCCAAAGTCGAAGATTATCAAACCATGCAGAAATGCTATAAAGTGCAACGTCAGAGTAATATTGTATTCATATATTCAAGAAGAATGAAAGACAAATGAAGACAGGTGAAAACGGCCAGGTTTGATTGGCTGTCGAATTAAGTTCCTTGTTTTGTGAAATGCGTAATTATGTAAATAGGAATGCTTGTTTGTATCAAATGCAAGTTTACAATCGTTTTATTTTATTTCGAGGAGAATAGTACACGTAACGCGGCGTCGACTCTCGTTCTAAACAAGAAAACACTGTATCATTATATACAAACTTGACAAAATTTAACGTTTTAACATCTAACGATGACATTCTCAGTGAGAATTTTATTGCTTTTGTTCATCTCCTTTGGTAAACTAAAAGCATCGATAACTGTTAATCGTACAACGCAGGACACATTTACAAATCCTCTTTGCGAAGAGGGTGTTAACTGCAAGACGGAACAGTGTGCCAGACATTATGCTAAATGTGAAACGAAATCATGCGAAGTCTGTATTTGTGACAATTATTCGGCAAATTATTTAGCAAGCGAGAAACGTTGTCTCAACGACGACAAAATTGTTTCACAAACAGGTAGGTGCTAAAGCTTTTGTTCTAGTTTTAGTGTATCTTTACCAAGACAAGACCATGACATCGTTAAAAATATTAATCAGACGTCACCTTTGCAAGACGAATCAGACCGTTCTCTGGAGTATAAATAAAATTATATAATTCTTTGAATATGCCACTACAGGTACGCCGGAACGGCAAAAGGGCAGGAGGGGCAAGTCTTTGTGGAGAAGGGCACATTAGTGAAATATACAAAAAATAATCTAATAGTGATAAACAGCAAAGAGATGTGCAACATGCAATACACTGTACAGAAGCACATGTCCGTAGTGTTGGTCGATGAATATTAACGATAATATAACTATCAAACGATGTAACGTCACTAATTTACAATTTGTCATGTATTGTATTTTCCAAAATATTTAATTCTTCTTTCATTTCTCTGTGAAAACTCTTTGGTAATTACGTCTATTTCCACCATATCCATGTGTTGCTTCTGAATGTTGGACAACATAATGTCATTCAGATGATTTCCTTCAGTGTTTGACCGCAGCCATGTTTTTAGACGACGCATTACGCTGAATGTGCGTTCGCACGAGGCAGACGAGAGTGGCACTGTGTAGTATAGTATAATTAGTTTGTGGATCTCTGAGCACCTTTTCTTTGCTGACGGCATAGCATTGAATATCTCTGCTATTGTTGAAATACGCGTGACTTCTGTTATTTTTTTCTTCTGATCCGCGTTGTGAAGCCCAAGAATGGTAGGAAGATCATCAAGCTGCATTCTTAGAACATCTTTATCAATCAAAGAATTGCTTAATCCATCTAAAGATACTCCTCTTTCTTTCATAGAGTTGAGTAACAGTTCCTCGATACATTTGATCTGGAAAAGATCGTCTTGTTCAAATCGCAATCCTAGACCTGAGATGATTGCATTAATGGCTTGGTAGTACGAGCTTCGCATTGGTGTTATATTCGCACTGTTGTAAACTGAGGCATCTGTGACGTGAAGGCTTTCTGTTATTAACATTTCTTCATTATTCATCCATCTTGGAACTTTTTTTAGTCTAGTGCCAGTGCCAAAATTTTCACTAAATTCCAGTGGAAACAACAACATAACACGAAAAACTTTCTTAGCGTCATCAAGTGTACGCTCAAACTCTTCTTCGCTTCTCATCTCATGAAGACGTTGGCACTGTGTAGTATAGTATAACGTCATTAGCAGTACTCACTCTTTCATTGCGTTTCAAGTTCTCATGCGTTGCAACAAAAAAGAAGAACTAACTAATCAAACAAAGAACTTACAAAACGTACTTAAAACAAAGAAATGTTAAAGGAAAACGAACATAGTTACGACAATTTTATTGCTAAGCTAAAAAGAATGCAATATCCCACAACGGTTAAGTAGTCTTTATCTTGGATGAAAAACAATAAATTTTCCACCTGTAGGGCACTTTTGCCCCCCCCTGCCCATCTCCAGAAAACGCAAGGGGGGCCGTTGCCCCCCTTGCCCCCCAGTTCCGGCGTCCCTGTGCCACTCTCTCGTCTATTCTTTTACAAAGTGATGGCAGACTCTAAATTTGTCTATGATGACGTATGAAATATAGCTTGATTAGCTTCCGAGTTCCGAACTCAAGTTCAACAAAAATTGCTTGCACATTTCAAGTGGTTTATGCTAACTGTGCAGATAAACACGAATTACAAACAAAAAAGTCTTTTATTACGCCCAGCACGTGCCGAAATTTTCCTTTTTGTAAAATTTTCCTCGAAAATCGCGAAACTTCTTCAACTTTGCACAAACTAGTTTCCGACGTCTAGAATAACATATTGAAAGTCATTTTGAGACAGAATAGCACCACTTAGCGCATTGCTGGTTTTGAGTTATTTGATCATAGGCGCAGGCACAAATTTAAGTTTGAAGGGGGGGGAGGAGGGTGGCATGGGAAAGATCAATGAGTAGTCAACTAGACTCGTTTTTTAAGCTTTAGGGGGTTTCTGCAGCTTTCAATCGAGCACTTTCAGATGACGACCCATATTTGTTGCCTCGTCGTATGCTTGTCCATATCTTATCAATTCAAGACAGGGTTTCAGCAAATATGGATGTATAAGATGCACACCAATACCAACTTTAGGGAGCTAATCCCTCCCTCCCACCCGCTTACTTCGTCTACGGATACGAACCAGTGATGAATCTGACCAGTTTACAAGATCTACTCACAGTACTCAGCAATTTTTAATTGAATCTTGGCCCAAATAATATTATATGGGCCAAAATTTTTCTAGGTTTTATCTTCTATTACTGCTCTCTTATTTCATAGAGCAGTTGAAATGATATAAGTAGCTTCGGGAGAGTGGCTTTCAAGCTGAGGAAAGAATAATGATACAACTCTCAAACAGGCTTTATGAAAAATGTTACTAAAAGCGTCTTGAGTAGATGTTTTTAAAATTGTCGAAATTTAACCAAAAGTAAAAATAAATAACGAACGTGATCACAATGAATCTGATTGATTAATTGTTCAAACTGCTCATTCTAGAGATGCTGGAAGATTAATAATTGGGTGTGTGATAGAAGCACTGTGGCAGTATTCCTATATACATGGTCTGCAGAATTATCCTTGTTATTCGTTCATTCTAAAATTCAAATAATGTTTTCTAGCTACAGATTCCGTTTATAAAATGCATATAATAAACATTATCAAAGCCCTTTGTTTCCTTTATTTAGTGAGAATATTTTAATTGACACAATAAAGCAAATTAATGCGCAAGTAAATACTCAAATGAAAATGTTAAAGTACGCTTAGTAAACTTTGTAGACATTATTTTTTTGTTGCTGGACTTGAGAAAAGGTAGAAGTTTTTGCAAACGGTTGGAATTGGAAGTAACATAGATATTCAACCAGGTACACATCGCCACCCCCTTCCTCAGTTTTTATACCATGATTTCACCTTTCTGTGACGGCAGTACCTCTGTTCTTGCCCCTTGTCTAAGCCCCTGCCAAAATAGATTATGCAATGAGAATAGCCCGAAAATCACCAACACAAAATGATTTTAGTTTTGAGGCCTAAATATGCAGATCTAGTTTTTTATTTTGTCCTACGAAATTATTCAAATGGAACGACACGGGCTATTTATATTTTAAACTAAGCCACATTTTTATGTGTTCTTTTCCATTTACTCATGTATTATGGTGGACAATGTATGCTACGATATATATTACAGTAACAGCAACTTCACTTTAAATATTATTGTTTGGTATGCAAAATTGTATTTTTTTAGTTCCGGAATACAGTTCGTTTGCAATATCCAGGAGTAATGTAAAAAACGTTTTTCTTGCGGTTCAACCGTCGGGTATCATCCAGCGCAAAAGTATATACAATGGAGATTTACAGGAAACATGGATATATACGACATCATCCCAATTGTTGAACCTAAAATCACTGGAGTGTTTAGATTACAGCAACGGGATCGCGAGGTCGATATCGGTTAAGCCATGTAAAGCAGGTAAAGAAGCCATCGGCCAGAAATGGTACTGCCCAAGTTCAGGAAATGACTTCTACGGTAAGATGAACGGATCCGCTTTATCTCTGGATTTTACGAGCATTCATTTTCTTATGTTCAAAACACGTCCACGCTTAAAAACGAAATGGATTGCTAAACCAAAAACTGATGGTGACTTTCGATCCATATGCGAATTGCCTCTGAAATACGAAGGTTGGTATTTTATGCTCGTCCTATGCTAGCATTTAAAGTTTCAATAATATCACTCAGTCAATTTTAGCAATTATATAAGCGCATGGGCGTAAGAAGATCGATAATTAGGAGGGCTCATATTCATAAATACATGAGATGGAGGGTTAAGCTCTATTGAATGTTGTTGTTCTCAACGGATTATATCATGCATATATGTATATGAGCCTCCTTAATTATTGATCTTCCTACGCCCATGATTGACATGTGTAGTAAAAGTGATTTAGATATCGGTTTTATGTGCGGAATAAATTTTTTGTGAACATAAGTTTCCCAAATGAAAAAACAGGATATCAATACAATTGGTTTGATTGATGATGTATTTTCATTAATTTTTTTACATATTCGGGATTAATAGGGACTGCGAAAAACAGATTATTTAAGGACAAAGGATAAGATTCATACATGCATGCTGTTCTATTCAAATTTAGTAGAGTCATACTAGTATTCTTTTGCAAATACTTTAATTAGTTTTATTGGCTACTCTATTCGCCATCTATTTTTCATTATTATTTTTTCAACGCTCCATTTATTTTTCAACATAAGAAGTTAAACGATTTCATTGGTCGAGAACTATGTGACTATATAACTATATGACTCTACTAAATTTGAATAGAACAGCATGCATGTATGAATCTTATCCTTTGTGCGTAACTAATCTGTTTTTCTGACGGGGAGATGTAGTTCTTCGAGGATCTTCGAAGACCGATATGAGCAATACTGGTGCAGATGTGCCGTTAGCAGCGGACTTGTACCCACGTTGATAAATATTTATGCATGCACGTGCTCATCCTCTGATAGAGTGCGAGCTGAGTCAAAACATGGCAGTAAGTAACACAGGGTGGGGTGGCAAGATTTTCCGGTTGGGGATAGTAGTATTGCTCATATCAGTCTTCGAAGATCCTCGGAGAACTACATCTCCCCGTCATGTCAGTACCCTCCGGAGAAATTTAATTTTTCCTTCGTATCTTCTCCAACTGATACTCGCAATACTGATGCAGATTTAAAAGCCTTGCTGCTACGCTTGCATAACAAGACACAAATCATCATATCGAAACAAAGATTTTTATATAATATTCTCTCAACATTCTAAACTCATTCAGATGAAGTTAATATGGCTTTTACAAAGGTATCCTTATGCGTTTTAAAAAATGTTTCTCGAAGATTGTTGCTGACGACCAATCAGCTGCAACTAATATTAGTTCCATGGATACTCCAGAGTACGCCGCCTCCGACGTTGATGCTGATCTGGTGAAATGACCATTATATTCCACGGATATTCCCGCCTTCACCAACACCGATCGTAGCCATCTGGATAAAGTTTGGCTGCATATAGCCTTGTGTGGCTTTTTATACGAAATCAACAGTTGTTGTTCGTTTCTCTTAATATTTTGGGTGTGCTCAAAATATTTTTCTAAACATTTAACCACACATATTTTCGAGTTCTCAGGAAATGCCTGGAAAGAAAGTTCTCGTGCAGGATGGACCTTTCCAACAGGCCAAGTTGTGGACATCTCGAAAATTCCTTTTATAAATCGGGAAACAACCGGCATACTACCTACTTGTTTACCGTCAATTAGGTCGTGGAATTGTGATATGCACGATTTGTATACCCCAATTATTCGGTATGCATGCTCTGTCCTGGCGTTCATTTGGCGAGACTCGACATCTGCTATAGAATTCTGAGCATCTGGCAAGTGTTGTGCCACCAGGATAATATTCTTCGATTGGCACAGTGTCCAAATATCCAACGCTACTTTGGTGAGAGTAACCGGTTTGGTTCCTCCTCTCTTGTTGATGTAGGCCACCGCAGTTGTGTTGTCCATCTGTAGGAGAATCCGTTTTCCCGTGAGCTGTAGGTCTGTGTTGAGATATGACTGAATTGCAATTAAGGCTGCCTTCATTTCCAGGATATTGATGTGCACTTTTCTTTCTTCTGAACTCCAATGCCCCCCTTTCCTCCGACCTTGACAACTCGCCCCCCGGCCCAAAAGGGATGCATCTGTTTGAATAGTAATGGTAGTCCTCTGATCGTCTATCGATGCACCATTCTCTGTTATTGGCTTGGTCGATGTCTACCAACTGAGGTCGGTCATTTTATCTATCGTAAGGTTAAATAGTTGGAATGTTATTAAACAAAAAGAATGATAGCACATCATTTTGGTCGTTATTGTTTGTAGTTGTTGGTTATAGCGCTGTGCTATCATTCTTTTTGTTTATCTATCGTAATTGTAATGCACCGTCTCCGAGAAAAATGTCCGTATCGGTGAATCGCCCTGATCAGTTGTTGTTGCAAGTTGCGATAATGTAGGGGACCTGTCTCCATTCCAACCTTTGATACTTGAGTCATTCCACCCAGCAAAGCGAATAGCTCCTGGATTGTGCACGCAGGTCTTCAGTCTCGAATTGTAACTTGTGCAGTTTCAAAGGTGGTATTGATATGGTCATGTTGCTGGAATTCAGTAATGCCCCAAGAAAGACTATGGATTGGACAGGCACTTGTGAACATTTCTCTATCTTCGCGATAAATCCTAGCTCTCTTAGCAGATGGCAAACCTGATTGAAAAGTTTTGTCAACTCTTTTGTATCTTGGTGTACCAGTAATAGATCGTCCAAGTAGATAATTATGCGAAGACTTTGTTTTCTCAGTAGCACAATTACTGGCTTCAATACCTTTGTAAACGTTCTGGGGGCTGATGCTGGGCTAGCATCTCGTTGGTGGACATAAATGGGAGATATTTTGTGTGTTCTTTTGCAACAGGAATGGAGAAATAAGCTTCCTGAAGGTCTAATTTCATTATGAAGTCGTTGTGTTTTAATGTTGAGCGAAGTAACTGCAAGCCCTTCATCTTGAATTTGGTTGTTTCGACAAATGCATTCAGCTGCTTCAGATTGAATATTGTTGTTCTGGTGAACTATAAACAAGGTTGAAAGAAATTGACCGTCTACAGGAGCCGTCACCTTCTTTACCGCTCCTTTTCCCATTACTTCTGTTATTGCGTTTTTTAACAAAGTTTTTTGATTTTGTGTTTTTGCTTTTGTTATTCTTGCCCGAACCTGAAACGGTCGTTTGAAAAATGGAATCTTGTACCCTGCCACAGTTTGCAGAATCCAAGGATCGTTCGATATCTTCCTCCAATTTCTTAAAAAATAAGTCAGACGACCCGCTGGCTATATTGATTGGAATTTTTGTCGAGATAGGTCCGGAACGGCATTGTCAGCTTTTTCCTCCTTCATTAGAACTACGAGTCGAGGCGTTTGAATCCTTGAGTTTGATTGAGTCTTTTCGATTGTTCCATCGTTTTCCCCAGGTTCTTTTGTGATCTCCTGGGGTTGCTTGAAAAGGCTGCTTACGAAAAATCTGCTTGTTGTTATACGTTTTCTTGAAAAACTGCTTTGAGGGATTCGAATTTCCCGATGCCACCAACGTACTCTTAGTTTTTGAGTAATCATTTTCACTCTGTACTGCTTTGTAAAACGTATCTGGAAATAAATGTTTGTCTGCTGGAAGGTCAGACTTCAGGGTGCGTTTCCCAAGATCCGTCAGAAATTCGGAAAATCGTCGTTTTTTTCCACGCACTCAACCGGGAAACTGCATTTCCCAAGAGGCGGGCGCATCTTCAAGCATAACTTTGATATCTTCAGGATTTGGAAGACCAGTATATTCATCATTGTCACCTATGACTGTCTCTAATGCTTCCAGGGCAGCAACAATAGGTCGAACTGCAGTAAGCAAAGGGGCTTGACGCTCCGCTAAGCCTTCATTAAAAGAAAATACTTCTTTTCTTTTGTGATAGCCATGTTTTTTCTTTATGTCCTCTTTCATAACAGTCTCCATTGTTGGAGAAACTAGCACACTCTCAGTGCCTTGTATTGTTGGATATTTGTCCAGTAATGTTGTCCAAATCTTTATGGACAATGGTTTTGTGAATGTGGATGTAATGAATTCTAGCAAATCATCAGGTAATGTGATCTGCCCGGGTTCTGTATAGAACCTACTAGATCGACCTTTTGCCGTCTCACAACTACCCTCACCCATCATCTGTTTTTTGCGTATGGGCTCATCTGAGCCTTCTGCATCTTCACTCGGGATGTCAGTGCCTGGAAGGCTTGAGGTAAAGCCTGCCTTTTGCAGGGACTGCGTTAATATCTGTGGTAGTAGTTGTTGTAGAGACTCAGCCACTTGATCGCTAATTTATGAGCGAATATACTGTGTATTTTCGTGGCGATTGTCAGGGTGGCCATGCTCGACAATATCTATCTCTCCCTGCGAGGCTGGCACCTGCAGGAATATGATATCAAGCACTTAACATAAGATTATATGCGTTATCGAACTTCGATATTGGCCAACCTATTTTTACGAACTAAATTTGCTAAATAAGGACTTAAAATAGAAAACTTTTTGCCACGTTCAACATTATGGGACAAGGACTCACCTGTTCGCTTGCTAATTTTAGTTTATAGCATAGGATGTATTCGTTAAACAAGGATATTTTCTTTAGTACTTTTGTGTGATACCAGAACGAAGCTTTCCCACGAAAGAAGAGGATGAGCAGGCGCGTTCGTAAATACATATCAACGTGGGTACCAGTCCGCTGCTTACCGCGGATCTGCAGCAGTATCGCGAGTATCAGTCGGAGAAGATACGAAGGAGAAGAAGACATACGCACGGAATTGACGTCACAGAAATTTCTTGTTTTTAAATTACTAACGAATGACAAAAGTATTTGAATAATTACTTAAGTTTATCCCTGAATGGGCAAATGACGACATTAAGAAAACATAGTTTGAAGCATTTGACGTATTTATAAAAAAAAACACATTTTCAAACGTTGAATTGTACGTCATCTCCGATGACACAATTTCAACAAAATTGATAAGCCATCGCTTGTTTATTCTGTTTGCCAATCACATTCTAGCATATGCTATGCTAGCAACTAGGATTTCTTTAATCCTAGAGATAA